GGAAACGCTTTTCGAAAAGCATCTTCCAATCTAAGCGCGACGCAAAGATACCCAGTTAATAAAACAAAAGCGACCAGCCCGTCATTGCATCGAGTAATCTAGTCTAGCCGGGTATCGGCGACGATAAATCATTCGTTATGCTGGTCGCGCGATCGACAGAAATTCCAGCTGGAATTCCGTAGCCGGTACTTCGGAATCGAGTCACACAGGATCGAGGAATTCTCGCGTCGTATATCTAGCGTCGCGGTCGGACTTTCTCATCTCTCTGTGTTTATCAAAGATTCCGGTCATCAGTGGGAGAGAAAAAGAGCTTTGATTTATGGTGCTGTTTTTGCTTCCCCGGTGACCTTAAGGGATGATTTTCCGTTCCAGGGGATCAAGCTCGATGAGACGAAGCGACGCCGAAATAATATCGCTCGCGTTCAAGCACAGGTAGTCAAAAGCTTCGTCGCGCGCAAACTTGTCCCCTCGGCAAGCTTGATGTCGAGATTATAAATACCATGACCCATCAATGGCGCTGCTACCGCCATTCAGAGCGTTGAGGAGAGACAGTGACGAAAATAGAGAGATATATATAAGTGGAAGGTAGAAAATATAGAGAAGGCCAGGTGAAAATATACAGGATGGTAGAGAAACAAGAAATTGTATAAGTATATATTAGTGGATCTCGATTAAAAATCATAGTGTCTGTATTTCAATGTCTATAATTCAGTGTCTGTAATTGAGTATCTATAAAATTTATTTCAAAGAGAAATCTAATCATATATAATAATATAATAATAATATATAATATAATATGATAATAATAATAATATAATAATATAATAATAATATATATAATAATATAAAATATAGTTTAAGATACGAGCTAAATTTGCATATTGGAATAGATTTTTTAATAAAAAAATATACACACAAATTGATGGAAAGAAAAAAAATTAAAAATATTTAACACTTTATATATACGATGTATAAAAAACATAACACTATTTTCCAAATTTTCGCGTGTTTTTCCGATGATGAGAGTGATCGGAAACATCTGCACATGATTGAAACGCTTGGAGCATAATATCGTTCATGTATTGATGATATTTGAATAGCATCCGGATCAATGTCACGCACAAATGCGTAAATATTCCTAATGCATGGATACGCTGGAATAACTATCAAAACCATTCGATATTCCATACGGTGAAAATTGCTCGCGAAGCAACAATATCCTCCCGGAAAAAAAATATCGATATCTGCGGGGAATTTTTTATCATCGCAATGTCCGGGGAGGAGTTCGCGGCCAAGAAAGTCGTGCATTTTGCAAAGTTTGCAGCCGCGCAATTCCCAGCACTTTGTTAACGGTCGTATAATTACATCGATATCTTCCGAGTCGAAGCTCCATCCTGCGACTCATTTTGCGCATCCTGCTCAAAATATTGCACGAAGAGAAACGGAAGGAAATAGTCGCGGAGTTAGACAGTCGGGCATCTCCGAGCTTCGATGAATATTTTATAACGATGTAGAGAGAAATATATGAAAGAGAGTCTCTCATTCTCTTTGAAGACGGACTAGTTATCTCAGAAGAAAGATATATATGTGAAGAAACTTCTTCAAAGATAATCACTCGCGTAACATTTTTTTTTTATTCCCATATTTGCGTCCCTTTTCTTGTCTTTTCTATCTCATTGTTTGCGGATATCGCCGATGTAACATTGAGCTCGTACTTTATTCTTATTCTCGTTTTCTCTTTCCTCTTACCGCAACGCAATAAGGTCGCTTTAACGCTAATTGATTAGTCTCGGTACGCGAGAAGGTCGAAGGGGAAGGAAAGGTCACATGGATATCCGCGCCGCGAGAAAGGAAAAGACCGGCGATATTGCCCTTTTTAATTCTCCATTGTATCGCGACGCGGACTTTAATTTTATCAACGGCCTCTTCCATTATTCGGGAAGCACCCCTTTGATCCTTTGAGGATGTCCCGCGCGGAGAGGGAGAGAGAGACAAGTTCCTTCCGGAACTTATATTCTTGCCGGGCAAGAAGAACCGCAATATTGCGTTATTACATCTACACCGTTTCCCGTTCATCCCAACTATGTAGTTGTCGGCGAAATGGTAGTAAAGTAACACTTTTATCCCGCGAAAACCTTCTTTGATCCGAAATCGTTCTCGGTCCATTGATTTAATCCGGAAATGTGCGCGAGATTCTTTTTCAATGTAACCGGATGCAATATAAATGACGCTTGCAAAAATTCTGTAAATAAATAATAAATCTTTCTCTCTCTCTCTCTTCACATATATATAAATACATATTATAATAAAATATAATAATTATATATATAATAAAATGGATATATGAAAAAACTTTATACGAGCATTTATATAAAATGATAGAAATCATTTGATCCAATGTTTGATCGTCCAGCAAAATGAGACACAACATGTCAGTAATATAATTATAAATATATAAATATTATATATTGCGTTGTATAAATATTAATATTATATTATATTTGATATATATTTCAATAATATTTTCCAAACAATCGCAATTATCTTTTCGATAAAATCCCCTGTTATAACGTAACTAGTGATTTTGCGAACGTAACGAGCCTTTTAATCCATTCTCTTGAAATAACCGCAAGATTGCGGGATTGCAAGGTCCTCGAAGAGGGGTCAAATGTGCCGGCAATGCCTGACCTATCGGAACGGAAGAATCCAGGATACTTCGAATCCGAGGGGTGCCGTTTGGGCTTTGCACGAAAGAAAAGACGACGGGGAATCCGGTATGGTTCTTAGCGAGGATGAAGTGCCCGAGAGACGGTGAAGTCCTCTGGAGAGCTCTCAAGTGTTCCCTATCCGACGACCGTCTCCATCCCCTTCGCCCACTCTTTCCCGCCACCGATTCCTTCTCGGGTGGTCGGACGACCTCCAACCTTGAGTAGCGAGGCACTTTCAAGAAGATACACCGCCCCCTCCGCGTCCGTGAAAGTCTTAGCTCGCATGACTGTGATATATATCGCGGTTACGCCCTGATTCGTCAAGAACCTACCCTTTTCTCCGTCTCGCACCCCGGAACTGGCTCCTCGCGACGGATCGCTCTCATTTCTCCTTCCCATCTGGCATCCGTCCTCGCTCTGGACTTCCGCTTCTGGACTGCGCCCCTTCTGTCTCGCTCCTACTTTCGTCCTCTTCCGCAGGAGAAATTTCTGCAGGATATGCGTCTCGCGATGGCGGACAAGTTACTATCGCCCTCTTCTTCGTCGAGGGATTACAGGTGACGTCTTTAAGTTTTTTCATCTTCTCGTTCTCCTTTCCTTCTCATATTTTGCCGCGTTTTTTTTTTCCAAGACTTATTTTCTTGAAGCACAATGAATCATTTCATTCTTATATCATTCCCTTTTTGCTTTATGCCGAACTAAAGTTGTGAAATATTGGATATTTGTGAAATTATATCGCCCGCGCGATTATTCGAAGAGCGTCTAATTGTTTCGAACAATATAATACATTTGTGAATATATTCGCGATAAAATATGCTTTCGTTTTAAACAAACGCGAGCGTCTTTCGAACGTTTGAAAGATTACGGATGAAATATTAAATCCCGATTAATCCTTAATAAGCATGTCAGTTTGCGTAAAACGCGGACGCGTTGCACCGTAGTCTCCAATTTTCCTAAAAGGCGCGTGCCTGCTGTTTCACAAGCGATATCATGTTACAAAGCAATTTTTGAATCCTGCTTTCTCTTTATTTCTCTTTGTCGACGTAGCCGACTATTGGACGTATTTCCCGAACGTTTTCAAAATCAAAGGCACGATGTGCCCTTTGAAAATATTCCTCCTAAAGCGTTCACTCGAAGCTCTCTCCCTCCGTTTCGAAGTGTTGCAAAGGGCTTCTCTCAAGAAGCGTCAGCTCCTCGAAACTCGATCGATGAGGGGAGGATGAACGTCACCGTTTCGAATAAAATATCGGTATCATCGGAATATCTTTGAAGATTTCACTGGGAGATATCGTCGGTGCAAGCAAGAAGGAAGTAAATTGAGCAGTAGCGCGCGATGCTACTTCTTTCTTCCTTCCGGGATATATTTTTGATCGAATACTTCGTACACACAATCTTGACTGTTATTCGTAGCCGTTTTTAGGAGAACGCGAATATATCTCCTCTATGAAAAATAAAGATACGTAATTTTAGCGAAATCACAAAATTAATAATTGATTAAAGTATTTATTATTTATCTTGTAATTATTATTTATTTTATAGCATTTATTATTATTTGTTATTTATTATTTATTTATTATTATTGATTCTTTTTATTTGAAGTCATCTCCGTTTTCCAATATTGGCTTCTACAATTTCTATAAAATATTTTTTTTTTTCAAATTTTATTTGTGATTGTACTAGAAATATAAAAATAATAAATAGCAATATATATATATATATATATATATATATATATATATATTATAAATAAATAATCTACACCTTCAACATGGCAAATTCAATAAATTTATAAAAGCTTATATTGATTCGTAATACAATTTCTACAATGGTGTTCGCTGGCAAGTCCTCCATGAGAAAAAAGTATTGGCTGGTAATAAAAAATCGACATAACTCTTGAAAAATATCCCTCGCGATCGTTGAAATACTTTTAGAGGATTTGCAAACAGAGTAGGTACTTTTCCAAACGGGACCGATTTAAATCTAAGCAGAGTTTTGGCAAGCGTGCCGAATCGCGATGGCGACGTATGCGAGGAAGAAACAAGAAACGTGGTCTCCTCTTCTCTTACCCAGAAAGAGCTTCTCTCTTCTTCCTCTTTTACGCCTTCTCTTGCTTCCTTCTTTCACCTATTACTTTGGCTCTACCTTGTTCTGTTTCTCGGCTCTCGTATTTCTCTCTGATTCATCGAGCACGGTGAGTCATCCGAGGCAGACGAGAGATGGTGGACCTTGCCGCGAATCTAAATAAATACGGACACGCGAGACCGAAAGAGAGGTGAACGAAAGGGCGGGAGTTGGGCAGCGCCAGCGAGACATCACTTAGAAATGCGTGAGTAAGAACTTCACGCTGCGGTAAATTTATATCGTTTTCCCACTACCGTCATCTCCTTGATTTTCTTTTCTTCAATCCAATTTTACAGAGCGCAAGCTAGATCGATCGATCACTTCGCGAGACGATTTTTTTTCTAGCGTCTTGAGAAATTTATTTTTGAAATTTCACATTTTCTTTCTTTAAATACGCTGTCTCGCAGTTGCTTATCTAGCAATAAATAAATCTTCGTAGAAATTTTTAACATCTGTTTAATAAGTTAAGGGAAATTCAAACTCATCTCTTGTAAATTTTCTTATTAACGTTATATAATAGATTTTGAAAATTATAGAAAGTTAATTTTGAGAACTTCAAAGATGCAATTTTATTAATATAGTGAATGATATCATTTTATTAAGTTTTTACTTGGAAATAACCTTTTATATTAACTTAACTTTTTACTCTTTCAAAATATTAAGTTATAGTTTTAATATATTTAAAGATATAATTGCATTTTTTGTAATTTCAAGCGGATGAAACTTTAATATCTAAATTTTAATAATATATATAACAGAATAATCGATAAATTCATCAAAGAACACCTTGTTCGTTTAAGAACTAAAAAGAACTTAAAATAAAATAAAATTCATATTAAAGATTTTAAATCAATTTAAAATTAAATCAACCAATTACTTCGACTTAAAATAGGAAACTAAGCTTTATTAAGTTTAATTAAGTTACTTAATTTTCAATGTTTAACATAATGGATAATTATACATCCATGAAAACTCTCGTTAAGGAAAGGTCGTCACGAAATTCGTCGAGGAGTTTGTCGCAAGGAGTTTGTTCGATGCCGATGGGACATTCCGTATAGTCCGCACTAAATAGCGTGTTCGTCCGGGTAACTCCGAATTACAGACTTTACATTGTAATTTACACGTCGTACACCGCGTACGCGTTGCCCCTTTATTTGAGCCCGCATCGTGGTGGTTGCTGGCACCGCCAACATTGCGCCGTAAAGTTGCATTGGATGTAACGAGGATGCTCGGCAAGGCGGAAACGAAGTTTCGCGAGAGAGACTGAAGCCGAAGTTGGGAAAAAGAGACCAGACGGGACAGCAACGTGGGTCCTGCTGTTGCTCGTGCGGCGACAATTAACGAACGAACGATTAATTATCCGCTTTTCTGTGCGTGCGGCCAACGACGACAATTGCGATTATAATAGAAATTTCTGTCCGACGCGGTGACAAGAATGGCGGCAAATATTCGTGATGAATCTCATGCAAAGTCGACGTAGAAAAACGACCGCTGTCGGAAAGATAGTTAAAAGATGATAATTTCTATTGTATTTGTATTTATATTCTTTGAATGTGCATGTGCGTCCGCGAATTAATAACTGATTAAAAATGAGCTGACCAAATCTAACCAATGCGTTCTTTTTCGGCAACGTATAAATGTGTAATTATTTTTTTCTCTCAAAAATAAAAAGGAGATCATGAATGTAACAATATCTCCTGTGTGTGTATACAATAGATAAGGGATGTGAAATAGCCATAAATGGAGTAAATTTATTTCTAACTGTGACAATAGTTGTTGATACAATTCAATAATCAATAATCAATGTTATATAATTCTTAAATAAGAAAGATAATTTTACGAGGGAAAGTCGTTAAATATGTCAAATGATTATTGAATTGTGTCATTGCCACAAAAATTAGAAACTATAATTTATTCCATTTACAACTTTTCGCATTCATTAATGATTTTTCTTCGTAAATTATATACATATATTGTAATTATATATGTATAATACAAAATCATTTTTACTTTTTTTCATAATCATTTGTGACATATTTAATGATTTTCCTTCGGATTGTGAATTCTTACATATAGAGATATTTTAAATTTTCCAAAAAAGAATTATCAGTGATAATTTTAATTAATCAAATAAATTCTAACATTTATTTATTTGTCTTTTATTTTGAAAAACTTGTTACAAAACTATTTTTAATTATTTTAACGGTATATATATAAAAATAAAAAATACGGTATACATATAAAAATAAAAAATACGGTATACATATAAAAATAAAAAATACTGTATGTTTTTAAATTAATTCTACATCAATTCAAAGCTACAGCATTTGATTTGTAAAAAAAGAGAAAGTTGACTTTTGTTCAAATCAATATTGGTTAATCTAGAATGGATTATAGTAGAGAGAGAGAAATTTATTTACTATAATTCATTTTCATTATTTTTTTTTCAATTTATAGTATAACGTTTATATATCTAAAAATAGATACAATTTCAAAAAAAATATCTGTTAGAAATCTCTTAGCATTTTCATATTAAAAGTTCATCTCATTGTAGCTTGTCTCGAAACAAATATTAATTATAAATCGGTCGTAAAATCTAATATGAAAAAATAAGAAAATTTAATGACCGATTTATATTTTGTCGCCCATTTTCATTTAAAAGAAAATAAAATGTTTTATAAGTATCCCATGGACATAAAATATTAATTGTTGAATTAAGAGAAGCGATTTAGTTTAATAAAAAATACAGAGATCTCAGCGAATTCTCGATTTCGATACCTATCACACTAATTATATATGCGCGTTCTTTCTTCAATTTACAAATATCTATCCTTTTATTCAAGAGAGCGCAGAATCTTTTAACTAGTACTGCTTTAACTAATCTGTAGAAAATCGCTAGTCGATCTTCTGATCATTCCACTCTTGTAGTTTTATCTCGTCCGTTCGGGACTCATTTTCCATGCGGAGGCTTTCGGAGTAAACTCGTCGACGAAACGGCCGGTGCATCTCTGGACCACTTCCAAGACGCGTTGCAATTTCGAGAGAGATGTGCGAGAGAGAGAGAGAGAGAGAGAGAAAGAGAGAAAGAGAGAGAGAGAGAGGGGAAAATCTAGAAGAGGAGGAAGAGACAAGAATCGGGCTGATTCTTCTCTCTCGGGTATCGAGAGTTCTCTTGATCGCGCTCTTTGGCGTTCACCCTTGACTCTTCCTTCCTGGCTCATCGCGGCGGCCAGGAGTGCTGCGGCTTAATCGCGTTTGGCCGACTTCCAGGACACGAGCAGTAGCTACCGAGGAACTTGCCGTCCAGTCACCGACCATTATCCTAAAACTATGTTTGTCCGCCGGCGGATGCCGCGGGACGTGTATACGACGTTCGTTTAGTCGTTAAAGCTCGCTCTCTTCTTTTTTTCATCCCTCCATCTTCTCGACTCCCACCCTCTTGCAAGAAGCCTGAGGAAATTATTTGACTACCGACGATTTGGTGGATTTGGCTCGATATGTTTACCGCTAACGAGAATTTCGAGTTTACGTACTGATGATTAAATTTATTTAAAGTTTAAAATTTAATTGTTGGTTTATCCTCCAACAATCAACTGTCAATCGTGAGTCATACAATAGACAGAATATCTTTGACATTATAATTGAAAGCTTTACGATTCGTACAAAGTTCGTGTGAAGGAACGCAACGTGTTCGTCGGCGAATTTCGGAACATCATAAATGTTGCAAGCAGTTCGCAACACCCGGAGGAACTCGTCGCGAGTTGACGATCGATTAACAATGTAACGAGTTTCCGAAAGTAACAACCGAACGAGAAGAGTGGCGAGGGTTGGAGAAAGAGAGGAGCAATGACGAGTATAGGGCGTTTTCCAAGCTTCGGATTTATTCGCGCGTATAATCAGAAGTATCAGAGAGAAAGAGAGAGGAGGGGAAAGGGGGGGGGAGAAGAGGGAGAACTTTCCGTTTCCGCTCTGGCGTTAATACTTAACAACGGAAATATATAATCTCCTCGTTTCCGGAGCTCATTACGAATTTCCACGAGCCCTCGCACGCATTTGAAGTGTTAAATTAACAAGCATTGTTCTAAAGAGAGATCTCATTGAGGGGCGCCAATCCTCCCTTTCTCTGTATTTCTGTTGTTTGCTCTATCTCTCTCTCTCTCCCTTTCATAAAAGAAAAGCATCGTTAAAGCATCGTTAAAAAAATGCTCCGCTTGAAAGTTATTTGCGCTCGTTGCCGATCTCGCAAGACTCCGCATTAAAGCAGATGCATGAAATGCATTTCAATCGAATTATATCACAAGTATCGTAAAATTGATGAAAAGATATTACAGTTTCGTGCGAGCGAACGAGCGTAATTGTTTTATTACCGCATCCACGTATCCTTTATATTCTTTCTGTTGCCGTTATCTTGAATATAGAAATTCACGGACGCGCCTGCGATATCTCTCTCCGATTCTCGAATTTTGCTCGCATTAGAATAAGTCATGCAATAAAGGGTTAATAGGACGCGGGAGTTAATTTCGCGAATTTCGGAGAGAAAGAGAGAGGTACGGAGAATGCGCATAATACGAGAACGAGCAATACCTACGCGTTGTTCGTGCCTCTCGCAAAACGGCGTGCATTTTCCCGGCATGCACTTATACATCGGCGCGTCGGAATAACTTTTTCGCACAAAGAGCGTACCTCCGTTGCTGTTTTACATTACGGCGCGCGGCGGCGGCCGAGATTGGCACACAACGCTGCCTTTATTTCCTTTGTCCAATTACGCGCCGCCCGTTTTAGGTAATTACACCACCGCCGTCCCGGCTTTTCGGATGGGACGGTGTCGGATGATAATCCACGTAGCCAGATGATAATTTGTCACGTGCAGCGTTATAACGATAGCCGGTTTCCACGAGGATATCCCCCATTCGCTTCACGCTCGTATTTACGACGTGAATTTATCGCCGTCGGATGCACGTTGATACGCGGATGTACGTACCAGCGTATCATTTTTTCACGTCGGATAATGAAGGAGAGGAATATAATATTTGCGAATTTTTTAGATTACGGTTCGTTTATTTGGCGCACGAAAGAAGTTTAGCTTTAGAACGAATTGTGAATTTTCAAAGGACATATTTATAAATACGAGACGACACGATTGATTTTTACACGAGTAGATCATGCCTTTGTTGGGTCAGACAATCATATCAAAATTTGTGCAAA